AAAATTTAAATTATATTCAGTTTTAATGCAAGTCATTTAATTACGTGTTGTAATCAAAATTAATTACCTTTAGAATGTATTGTAAATGGTTTTTAATTGTTTTGCCTGTCTGTATTATTAGCTGTCAACTGCATTATGTACGTTTAATGAACAAAGGTTTAAAATAGATTTAAAATAACGTGATTTTTATTTTTAGTGTCTTACAGTTTATTTTATGTTAATTTAAAATTACACTATACAACTATAGTTGGATTAGATTTAGTTGTTGGTAAGTGTTAGGTTATAGTATTTTTTTACGGGGAGAAAATCATCCAATGACTTCTCCCGCCTGATTGAAGCGAGAGGGAGTGTCAGACTCTTACTGACTAAAAACCACCCCGTTCCTACTCCTGCACTTCGATCCGGAGCCTCGATAACCCGTTAAGATCTCCGCGGCTAGATTATAGTATAGGTACTTAATAGGCCTGGATAATTTTCTTTTAGTAGAAGTAATAAGGTAATGAAGAAAATTATGTCCATTAGAATAAAATTTTAACGTTTTATCGTATCAAAGTCATAATGTCACACTATTGACTAGAAGGATAACGAAGAGCTTCACTCTAAATCCCTTATTGAAATAATCCTTCAAAAATAAATCGAATGACAAATATTGGACGCAAATGTTGGCATTGGCACCCAACTTCTACCATTTGTACCAACACTATTATGAAAACGGTCTCGCGATCATATTTTAAAATGTTCAATTTTCGAACGAATTCGAATTTCGGGCGTGTTCATTCATTCGTGCGAAGACATAAAGGATTCGTTCACCATTTTGTTTCATTCATTCTTTTAAGTTAAATAGTACGTGGAATAACTTGCTGGCAAAGAAAAAAACTTGGGAATTCGATTCTTGGTGCAGCGATTCATAAAGAGAAAAAAAATAAAAGAGTGATTCAATCGTGAACTTAAGCTATCGCTTTGGAGTTGAACTACGATTATTTAGTTAACTTTATAAAAGTGTTTCTTCATATACTATCATAAAAATGGCTTTATAGTAAAAACATATTTTAAAAAAAATATCCGTTGGCCAAATGGTCGCAAGTGCGACTGCCGGCCAAGAGGTCTAAGGTTCGATTCCCGGGTCTGGCAAAGCAATATTGGGTTTTTAAAAAAAGTCTCAGTAGTAGCACGGAGTTTGGAATTGTGCCCGATATATGGCAATAGGCTCACCATCTATTACATGGGACTCATAACATATATAGTGAAAAGTGGGTGTTACATTGTACAGTGGCATAATGTGCACCTCTGCCTACACCTTCGAGGATAAAAGGCGTATGTATGTGATTTTTCATTTGTTGTCTCATAGGGCCTTTAAAGTGATCACGAGAACGAGGTTAAATTTATCTTGTCAGATGATGATGAAAAACGTTGTCTAAATTTTGAAACGTCTTAGGTACAATTTAAGAATAAATAATTGGCAAACAGTAAATTTACGGCAAGCAAAGTGTGATAATTTGTGTTGAACAAAATTAAAAGAAAATAAAACGCACATAAAACCACTTTAATCGACTTGTAGCTGTCAAATAACAGCCAAAGAATGCATAATAAGTAACGTGACGTCACTACCATTTCAGAGCAAACGTACGATAGAGACAGTGAGATATTTCCCTCTCTCTCCAGCACTTAAGTACAACTACAAAATAGTATCTGGTTCGTGTTACAATCAATTTAGAAGCTGTTTTCTCTAAAAGGCTTCTTTTAAATTGTATTCGCTGGGTTCTGTTAAATTAAATACAAATAAATTTAAGAATACACAGTCTTTAAAGTATTGTTGAGTTAGCAGTGTATCGTTTCTGTACAATTCTTATTTTGACCGACTTCATAACAAAAAACGAGGTATTCAGTTTAAACTGCATGTATGTATCTTTTTTTTAAGGGGGGAAAATCATCGAATGATTGCTCCCGTCTGGGTGAGGCGGGAGGGAGTGTCAGACTCTTATTGACTAAAAACCACCCCGTTCCTTCTCCTGCACGTCGAGCCGGTGCCCCGGTAACCCGTTAGGTTCTCCGCGAATCGGCATCGGCCCTGTTGGGCCCCATCTGTGGTGGTCTGATGGCTCTTTGAGGCGAGCGCGGAACGCGACGCGCCGTACGCTCGGGTCTGTTTCTGGTCGGACGGGGAGCTACCCATGCTCGCCGTCCGCAGGCCCGCGCTCACGGTGGCCGGAGAATGTGTGTATGTACCTATGTATGTATGTTTGTGCGGGATTATCTCGCAATTGGCTGAATCGATTCTGATGCGGCTTTTAGAAAAGTGTTTCATACACTTAGGAGAAGGTATGTTATGTAACCTTTAGACTTTAGAAAAAAAGGGGGGTTAAAGTCGGTTTTCTTAAACGTAGTTTATTGTTGATTAGATACTTGCTAACAGCCCATAACAGTCTGGGTCTATAAACTTTCCTCACCTTAAAAAATAATTTTAACGTTAGGCAGATGATTTTTGAGATTGTGGTGATTGTGGTCTCAGACCACGGTTACAGGCATTGGAGAAACACCGCTATAGTTTAGTCAGTAAGAGTCCAGCACGGCCCCGTCGTCCCACGTCGTAAAAAAGCGTGAG